CCCCCCTCTCCCCCCCGGCCAAAAGCAAAGATGATGACCAGCTTCTGGTTCATCCTGGTGAAACGGGCGAAAGCTCGGCATTTCGCTCCGTCCCGGCATTGTAGGGATGCGAGGTCAATGATCTAGCGACTACGGTATGCTTTTACATTAGTACATCCCCCGTCCCCCCCGCCCAATTACCCCAGGAAAAGTGGATGCCGTTGCGGTCGGTGCCGATAGGGTAGCCGCCAACGGGGACACCGCGAACAAGATAGGCACGCTGCAGCTCGCCATCGCGGCGGCACACTACGGCATCCCCTTCCTTGTCGTCGCGCCGCTCACGTCCTGCGACCCCGAGGTTTGCGTGCTGATGGGGGTGTGCTTTTCTAATCCGGGACTCCAAGGTTGGGACTCTTTAAGTGTCAGTAGGGCTGTCCCTGCTTCGCATGGTTCTCGGACCAGTGATCTGTGTGCTGTTGTTTGGGGTTCAGCAACAGGGGCTCTCGCTGGGCGTGTTTCGCGCGATGATGCCAGCTTGGTCATAGCCTGGACGATGTCGCTGCTGTGTGTCTAGGCGGCAACGGAGTGCGTACTATCGATAAATGATTTTAATTTGTAGAACAGACGCAGCGAGGATCGGTTACCCCTGACCAAGCCCCCCCGCCTCCCGTCCCACACACGCAGACCGCCACCGGAGGCGGCATCAGCATCGAAGAACGCCCGGCATCGGAACTCAAGACTGTGGCTGGCATCAAGATAGCGCCGGACGGTGTCTCCGCTTGGAACCCTGCGTTCGACGTCACCCCGGCCAGGCTCATCACCGCGATAGTCACGGACAAAGGATGTGTGCCTAGGAAGGAGGCGGCAGAGGACAAGGAGTTCGACGTCAAGGCGTTCTGCCAAGCGATGTCCACCGGCGAGGTAGGGTCCGCCGTCTTGATACGTCGCATCGCCTCGTCGTTGCCAACGCGCGACATCACGCCTCGTCCCTGCTTCCCTCGCATCCATCAACCCGTATGTGCTCGTGAGTCTGCGTCGTTCACAGTAGGGGACGGGTACCGCCCTCCATGAGCTTGCTTGTAGCTGTGAGCCGTGCCAAGCGGGACGTTCTTCTGGCGTTCGAGGAATTTCAGCTGTGTTCCCCAAGGTTCGACGCCATTGCTTTGTGCTTCTGTGGCGTTTTCGGGCATCCGTCCGGATGTTAATAAAGAGGGACATCATTCTTCCTCCCAACAACAACCGTGCACGATCGGAGTCAAGTGAGGCATGCCCGACCTTTCATTACCATCGTGCTGGTGTTGTCTTTGTTGCAGAGACGACCGGATCAGCCAGCCCCCGTCCCGGAAGCCACCGCGCCCTCGGCTTCATTAGAAATCCCTGAGGGATACCGCGCTCTGACCGGAGAGGGGGCGATAGCCGAGTACCTCGCGGGCCTCCCCAAGTAAGCGAAGCGTGTGGCGATTCTTGTAGCCTTGTCTTTAGCAAGCGCAGATGGGGTATCTATCGCCTTAGAGCAACACGGGATAAGTGTGTATATGGTTCAGCAACGGTTGATCCGTGGGCGGCGGGTTCCTGTTGTGGAGAAAATGCTTGTGGGTCAAATTTCTTGGTTTGTCTTCTGGCGACATGTGGCCAGCGACGCGACGATAGTGTCGGCGGTGGGGTCAACAGCGGTTGGGAAACTTGAGCCACCTGTCTCGCCCGATTTCGTCGAAAACACCTGTATGATGTTCTTTGGTCTGCGGGTGTGTATTGGTGTGCTTTGCTCGCCCACCGGCAAATCAACGCGGCCAATGATCGATGTCATTATTTACTCAACATGAGTTAACCGCACGCGACGAGTCAACACCTGCCGCAACGCGTGTGATGATCACGCCAAGGTGAAGGTTTTCTAGTCCTCGCTGTCGCGTGCCGTCTTCCTGTGAGCCTTCCCGTTTAGTGTAGATTTGCTCGCGCGCTTCGTCGTATTGCCCCGCGCCCGGGGTCGCCGCTGTTTCACTCCCTATAGTTGAGCGTAGTACACGTAAATGCTAAAAGAGGCAGGTATCACAGCTCCCTTGGGCGGGTCTTGGCTCCTTCCTTCCTAGGCAGGTAGTAAAGCCTAGATAAAAGGGTGATCTGTTGCGATCCTTGCTACACAAGTTGCCTCGGAACCTCCATGGTCTTCTCTCTCAACAGACGCCACCACACGGTAGACGGCCCTTAACGGAGATCAACGTGGCCGGTGCAACCACTCGAAGTCACCCTTCGGGATATTTAGTCGGCCACAGCAGTAGGGTTGATCACTGATGCGACGTGGAAATCGCTCCTGTGATGTCGGCGATCAGCGGCCGAAGCGTACCCCGAATGGCGGCCTCGAGTGGTTCCACCGGCCACGTTGATCTCCGTTTGAGACCGTCTAACATGTGGTGGCGTCTGTTGTTGAGAAAAGACCATGGAGGTCCTTAGGTATTCTAGGTAGGAACCTGTTCTGCACGTGGGATTAGGTCCACATAACCTGCCGACCGAACAGGGATACTTCTCGTCGTTTCTTCTCTTCGAGCAAAGAAGCAGAGTGCCGCTCCGCCCGACGCACCAGGGGGTGACATTTCGAAGTGCGCAACTGCCAGCTGTCACAGTTGGGGAAAATTGCCACCCCCTCGGCTCTCGGCTCCACATGTCTGTGCGGTTTCGTGCGACTTGTTTGGCCATACACCTTGACTGTCCCTTCCTTCCTTATTTCCTCACGCTGCGTCTCGCTGTTGGTTGCGCCTGTTCCATCGTTTGTGCCGCCGAGATAGGGTCATGGCGCTGATTGGCGCGTCGAGCGCGGCCGACGTCGTGTCGGAGGAGTTCGGGGACGGTAACCTGAACCTCGTCTTCCGCTGCAGGTGAGAGAGAGAGGGGACGACGGACAGAGAGAGAGAGAGAGAGAGAGAGAGAGAGAGAGAGAGAGAGAGAGAGAGAG